TATAACTGTATCTCTTCGTATTCCTTGTACTCTTATATATAATCCTGTATCTCCTTGCTTTAATCAACTTACTTTGCCCTCACATACCAGCGCAAGGTGGTTCACAACTCTTTATCAAAGACGCTTCCGCTATTACATCAGTCCTACCCAGAATTCACCCCTGCAAAGATCCTTAAGGCTTTTTCAGCCCAACATGGTATGAGAGCTATCACGGGGAATTCAACTATCAAAACGCCTACAACATCAGAAGACATGGGTACTCAGAATGAAAGGAGTTCCTCCATTGGTTCTCCCGGCACTTCTCCTACTCCACCTCCTGCCTCTGGCCTACAGACAGAGGAGGGTACGGCAACAAGACCCAGGACAACATCCACCGAGACTCCTGCGAATCAACCTGCAGGCTTCGACCAGAGCATGATGGAGAAGTTTTTCTCCTTCATGTCCTTCTATGAGCAACACCAGCAATCGGTACCTGCGCAATCACACAACAGCAACAACAACAACGACGCGACTCCAATGAGCCTTGACGGTTCATCCTACGCACGTGGAAATCAACAGCAGCAACCTACCTTTGCTCCGTACGAGCCCCAGCGCGGCTCCGTCAGCATTATGCCACAACCGCAGCCTGCACCTGGACAGGAAAAACCACTGGACGCACTTCAAGTTCAGTCGCAGTTCGCGCACGTTTTAAAACTTCAGACGTCAAGGTCTTTCGACGGAAAGGACTTCTTCACCTGGTCGTTCGAGTTCGAGTTAATGATGGAAGGCGCGCAGATTCTTGGCTTCTTCGACGGATCTCTGCCATACCCAACAAAAGACACACAACAGTACACCTATCAGTCAATGATGGTGTATACGGTTCTACTGAGGAACATCACCCCAAACCAGCAGCAGAATATACGATCTTACCGGGGATATGGGAACTCCGCCGAACTCGCATACAGCCACTTGAAGAACCTGTACCAAGCAACAGACAGCATTAATCAGAGTCGGCTAATGGCGCAGTTGACAACAGTGGAAATGAAACCAGGCGAAAAGGGAATAGCGTATATCAGCCGCTGTCACGAGTTGCGCGACAAACTCCTTCGATCCGGAGGGTCGATATCTGAAGACGCCTTCGTAACAGTTATCATCGGCGGCCTCAATCCTCAATGGCGCGCCACAAAAGCCATTCTCTGAGCTCACGGAAGAATCTCCGAAGTAGCACTCTGCGCCGAAATTCACGCCGAGCAACAAGACATGGACCTGCAAGAGGAACGACACAAGAAGAAAGCATTAGCACCGGAATTCGCCTTCCGCACTCAGCGACGCTACAACAACAACAACAACAACCGACAACAACCAAAACCTGTACCTCCGTTCTGCCACATCTGCAAGACACCAGGGCACCCACGCACACACTGCCCGAATCGACAACAGTCAACTCCACCGCAACGGCAGCTTCGACCCTCAAGCATCCAAGTGGCATCGACGCAGGCGAACCCCACGAGTCAGTCGCAACCTTCAACAACACAATCTGCACAAGGAGCAAGAAACATTGTCAGCTGCATGACAAAATTGACCGATTCCTGCATCACCGAGTCACCGCCGCACTACTCACCGGAAGAACAACTCGACAACATCACACCTCACCGTGAGTCACTTCAACCGAATCCAACGTACGCAGCCATCGCCCAGAGCGAGCCATCCGGAAAAGATACCTGGTTCTTGGACAGCTGCTGCGGACAACACATGTGCTCTTCAGGACGCTTCGTGCAGCAAGAGTACCAACTCCAACGCGAAGTAGTCATCACCGTCGCCAAGAACCAGAACCTGCGCACACGACGACAATGCGTGGTTCAACTTCAGTCAAGAGAGACAAACGTTATACTACAGATGTCAAAGGTATTAATCGTGGAGGGACTCAGCTACAACTTACTGAGCGTCAGCCAGTTGATGGCAAAAGGCATTCACCTTGAAGCAGACAGCACCACCCAGGAGTTCAAGTTGTACCACGGAAGAGGAGGTCTCTACATCGGCAAGGCAGTTTTCAAAAACAACGTCTTCGTTCTCGACTTCGTCCCGGACCTTGGCACCGCTGACAGCGACGCCATCGTGAACTTCACCTCTTGGACACATCCACCGGATCTTGACCCAGACTTCAGCCCCGACGGCTTTTGGTATTCACACACAATACCTGAAGCAGAAAGAACAAGAGCGTTAGCGACAATTCAACATTCAGCAGCAACAGAGACAACATCGGCAGCAGCAGAGACAACATCGGCAGCAGCAGAGAAAACATCGGCAGCAGCAGAGACAACAACGGTAGCAACAGAGACACCGGAGACAACAGCGGCAACATCAACACCAATCGCTGGTCCTTCAACGGCACTGATCTTTGTCGACGACACACCTGTGAAAATAGGTAGGTAATGAAAGTAGCCATAGCTAGGACTAACATAGCTAGGCAAGAAGAAGTTAGGCAAAAGAGGGGTTGTACTAGCAAGCAATGAGATACAAATATGAAACCCTAAGGGGTTATACTCGCTATAGAGTACCCCACTGCAGGCTAGATAACAAATATAACATTCTGACAACACCACCGACACCCGCGCAGCAACTGCACCCAGCACCACGAGAAGTTCATCGAAGTGCCAACTTCAGCGCCAGCTTCTACTCCAACTCCGATATGTATCGGCGCTCACCCGAACATCGTGCCACCGAAGGAACCTGGCATGCAAGAATGGGATACCCAAGCAACACGGTGTTAAACAACACGATAAGAGCAGGCGTGCTTGACAAAGACTCTCTACTCCTAACTGACGGCAAGAACTTCAGCGAGCCCGTGGAACATGCTTCACCTGTCCTGAAGCTGATTTACCGCATCAACCGTTCGCGTCTCACCACAACCCTAGCGCACCAGCTTACGCGCCACTCGAGAAGGTGTACAGCGACATTCTGTACAACCGCGAGCCTGGAAAAAACGCGTACAATTACACCATCACCTTCATCGACGCAGCCACTCGATACGTCTGGCACCTAAACCTTCCAAGCAAGGACATGGCATTCGAAGCCTTCGTCGCCTGGCTTCCAGTAGCAGAAAGAGAATCGGGCGTCAAACTAAAAAGCTTCCAGTCAGACGGGGGAGGAGAATACACCTCACAGAGGTTCAAGGAATACTTGGCAGAGAGAGGAATCAAGCGACTCATCTCTCTTCCCTACGCCCATCAACAACAGGGTGTAGCAGAAAGGATGAACATGACCCTCCAGAACACCATGCGCAAGCTGCTACGTGGCATGAACCTGCCCAACCACCAGTGGCCCGAAGCAATGGACCACGCCGTCATGCTGCACAATTTGCTCTCGTCATCATCGCTCCCGAACAACGCATCACCGCATTTGCTGTGGACAGGAAAACTGGGCAGCACAAAAATGTTAAGAGTCTTCGGCTGCATGGTACAGTACCGGCCTCCATCTGCACGAGCTGGCCGATTCTCACAATGCGCACAGTGGGGACTACACCTGGGCATCGAAAAACACTACAACGCATGGAAGAATTTCGACGTCGAGACAAAGGAAACAGTAGCAGCACGTGATGTCATCTTCTACGAAAACCTCACCCTCCGGTATTACCTTGCCAACTTGCAAGAAGGAAACCCCGATTGCTCCGATGGTTTTCTTGGGACCCGAGCCTTCGCCTCGGCAAACGTCGAAGCTGACTGGGACGAGCAGAACGTGGAAGGAGCCTCGGAAGAAGCCGTACCTCTCCCCTACTGCTCCGTCGACGTGCCAATGGACGACGAAAACCTACGCGAAAGTATCAACGTCGAAACCTATTACCATTTCGTCGACAACGGTTACGTTACACCTGCACAAGTCAACACCGACGAAGCAGAACGCGTAGGACCCAATTTCGCACTTGATCCAGAAGCGGGAGACGAAGTTGTTTATCCCGCGGACATGTGACTTCTCCGCAACACACAGAGTGGACTCCAGATCCTCGGGCTCGTCACCGCAGTCCACGGCACGGCCATTCCTAAAGAGCCTGCCACAATTCAGCAGGCTGTGGGGGGGGAGCATAAGGAAAAATGGCGCGAAGCCATGGACAGGGAATTAAAGGCACTTGAGGAGCGCAACACCTAGAAAGTCGTCCCTATCAGTGTGGCGCGGAACAAAACAACCTAATTCTCACCGGGAAGTGGGCCTTCCGAGTGAAAACAAATGCAGACGGCACCATCGACAAAATTAAAGCACGCTGGGTTGTACGTGGCTTCGACTAAGAACACGGACGCGACTTCACCGAGACATTTGCCCCGGTCAGCCGACAAACCTCACTTCGAATCCTTCTCGCGATCGTCGCCATGAAGAAAAAGAAGCTGCGGCAAATCGACGTCGAGAATGCATTTCTCTACGCACCTGTTGACGCTGAGATCTTCGTCGAGCTCCCGCACGGCTCCAACGGGGAACCCAACCAAGTCTGTCAACTGCTGAAGTCACTCTACGGCATCAAACAAGCTCCAAGGCTATGGCAACAGTACCTACACGCAAGACTTATCCGCATAGGATTTCGCCAGCTACCTCACGACCAGGGAATGTACCGGCTGACAAAGGGCACCGACTACATCCTACTAATCATCTACGTAGACGATCTACTCTACATCGGGTCGACCGATGGCGTCAGTACTTGGTTCGAAGGGGAGCTGCAAAAAGACCTCAGACTCACAGTCTCGTCCACCGTCACACAATACCTCGGTCTCAACATACGGGAAGAAGAATACGCGATCTACCTTAGCACCGCAAAGTACGCCGACACCATCGCCAAACGCTTCGTTCTCACACCAACTACCATCTCCACACCATATCGCTACACGGCAGGAATCTGCAAGGAAGAATCCGCTCCACTGAAGCCCGCCGGCATACGTGACTACCAGAGAAAGCTGGGCTGTCTTCTCTTTGCAGCCGTCACTTGCCGTCCGGACCTATCATACTCCGCAAGTCAGCTCGCGACCTACCTCAAGAAA